ACACACACACACACACACACACACACACACACACACACACACACACAGAGACACACATACCCCACCCCTCCTCTTTCAGGGGGGAGTTTTTGGTAAGTAATCAGAGAATTGGACAGGAGAGCCTGCTGTGTGTTTTCATATAAAAACTCTCCTGTGGCAACAGCAGTCCTTTTTTTTTTTCCTTTTGTCACTCCCCCCCCCCCCCCCCCCCCCTCAGAGTCTATTCTCTGTTTGCTCGTGTTATTTGCAGCTCGAGCTCCAATCCAACCTCGCTTATTCTTCCACAACCTGTTAAACGGAGGGCTTTAATGCGGATTCAGGAAAAAAAGCTGTGCATGTGTGTGTGTGTGTTACTCCATTATTTGTAGGGCTGGCCCCGTTTGGAGGCATGTCTCATGTCACAGTCATGTTTCCACACCAAGGAACCAGCTCTGTGTGAGGAAAACTGGTTCTGAAGTGACACAAAAACCAAAAATTCACACTAAAGACTGGGGTTAATATCCCAGAAACAACCAAAACAGGAGATTCATTTCCACGTTGATGTTTTCTGTCCATGGATGGACACTCTGTGTCTTCATATGTGATGATGTCAACTTCCCACATCCTGCTACGGCTGAGGTGAAATACTGAAACGGGGAAAGAGGAAAGAGGGCAGGTGGAAGGCAGGGATCCTTGAGCCTTCAGGTGAGAGGCTTTTGTCTGCAGGTTTTCAGCAGTCTATGCTTTTTTTTCCTCCAATGGTGATTGCCAGTTTTCCGCCATTCCCCCATCGCAGTTGGCCATTTATGTGGTGAGAGTAGAGAATTCCCACAAGCTGCATGGTGGTTTCAGTGGTTAGCTCCACGTCCAAGAAGAAAGAAAGTTCCTTGTTCGAATTCTGGAGCCTGCATCTGTGTATTTGTGTTGCACTTGTTTGTGGCCAAAAAGCATGTAAGCAACATTAGGTTTTTAAGTGTTGAGCTTATGTGGTTGTTTGGCCTTCCATCAGACTTGGATCTCCTTACAATCCAACCTGGCTCTTCCCTAATGGCTGCCGGAAGATGGTGAGGTATAGAAAATGAACAGATGAAGGGGCCTTATGTATGCATGTTCGATAAAAACAGATATTTCAGTATTAACCATGCATTGCTATTAGCTTCATGTCATGTGAAAGCAGGTCAAAAGAACCAAACACGCAGCCTGGTAGATATGATGGCCGTTCTAAAACTCTAGTGCTGTTTAGGGTTTAGGTGTGAAAAGATAATTGGTCAGGGCTCAGAAAATATCGCGGCTTTGCTCAAAATAGTATTGGAATTTCTCCCACGTGTTCCGAAAATCTCCCTTTTTCCGGATTGCTATACGACAAACCCCAAAACGCACAAAAGAGACCTGCTGCTGGAAAAATAAAAACACAGCGCTTTGGGAACCGTGTGGCATGAAAAACGTGTCTGTGCATGAATGGAATGGATTTCCATCCGTGCCCGTTTCGTGGTTTAGCGAAGCTAAACACATGCCGATAATATTAGAATATGAAACTCTATTTATGCGCAGCGTCTCTGTCGCCGTTTATAAACAGTCCCAGAAGGGCACGTGTGCACGGGGCTCCCCAGAAAACTGTTCTCAGCCAGGTAAACGGATACAGACGCAGAATGTCTCCAACACAACACAGAACACCGCTGAAACCGAGACGAATCTCCAAATAAATAAACTGGAGTGAATGGAAAAGAGGTAAACATCTCCAAGTCAGGTTTTTTTCCGAGGAAATTCAGGGTAAACCTGCAGGAGCTTCAGGCCAAGATCATTAAAAGGCCTTTTCCTTAGTTTGTGGCATTCAGAACTATGACCTGGAACCAGCCCGTTCCCACAGGTAGCACCAGGTATTGAACCGGTCAAAAATAGCATTTTTACCAAGCTATTTCTTTCTCCTGAAATGTCCTGCAGGCTGTAGCACAAAAGGCTTGTCAATCACTGCTTTTAAAAATATATACAACTGACATTAAAGGGAAAAGAAAACGAAGGAAAAGGAGAGAGAGAGAAAAAAAAGAATCAATATGGCATTTTCAGTTCAGGCTCCCGTTTGGTTTAGAAACAATTTATGCAACTCTGTGAAACACCCTGTGGTCTATTGTGGAGTGTTTTCTGTGCATGAGGATGCACATGCATGAGCACCGCAGCCTTTCCGTCCTGCTGTTAGTTTCTCCCTGTTGTTTAACTGACATTACCACAGCATGGAGCACAATGGAGGGGGGATGCCAATGCAAACAGCCCCAGCTGAATAGGGAAAAAAAAAAAAAAAGTGGAGTTGTTAGCCTATAACATTTAATCAAGGCTCTAAGCAGCAGCCAGAATTTGGCCGGGCCAATTAAATGCGTTCAAACGCACATTTCTGGTAATTTACTTTGCGACGTGAATGTCGTATCTGAGCACTTTAGCTCTCCATCATAAGCAAGGCGGATGAAATTACTGACGCCAGGATAATTAAAAAGTCCTGCTTAAGAGGTTAGGAAAATCTGCTACATTTGCCTTTGCATTTGTAGAAACTCCTTCACTTCTGCTCTCTCACCTGTCTTTATGTCTTCTCTTTTTTAGCCGCGGCTAACATCAGGGAAAATCTGTCTCCCTCTTCTCGCCTTCTTTGTCTGAAAATGAGCGTGCATGTGTGAGAGTGTGTACATTTCAGACAGATAAGAGACTCAAGGATGACAGTTGCCCACCAGAGAGGGGGAAAAAAAGCCTGAAGGACACCAACAGAATGTCTTTCCCTTTTTCATATCTGTCACCCTGGTTCTTCCTGTCACTCTTTAATTATTTGTTATTTTTATGATGTGATTTCTATAAAAAATTCACCTTTAAGTATTATGGAAATTGGAAATACCTTGATGGATTATAACTCTTAAAATTGTCTGTAAAATGCATGAATTTTGCTTGAATTTTGACAGTGTAGAGATGGAAAAAAAGGGTTTAAAGAGCTCGTCCTCATGTCTGTTTTTCTTGGTTCGACATGCACAAGAGTGACGGCTGTCTCTTTAACAAACAAAATATCACATGTCTGATGGAAACTCTTTTGTATATACATCTCTTTTGCCTGTACCCCTCCGGGTCTCCTTGTCTTTCTGTCTGCGTTTCAAAAAATCCTGATGCTCTCGTCCTACTTTCCCGAAAAAAAAAATAAAAATGAAAAAATTGGCACTAAAAATCGCATCTGCGTTCCAGCTCAAGACATGTAAGGAAATGGGTGATGTTCCCCCACTGGTGGTTTGACTGGAGGAAGACCACATAAGCCTGACATCAAGAAGTGGAGGACTGGAAGTAAAAAAAAGTAAAGGCGATGTGGGGAAATGTTTACATGACAGATCTTTTAAAATAGTTTATCCGTCAGGGGGGTTCTTCTATCATTAATACCTACGGTTTTTCCAGCTTCGAACGTTTTAAGAGAGCTGGCAATATAATATGAGTTAAATCCCTCCTGGAAACTGTGGGTCCGGAAGTTACAGGGATCTGTACACCACGGCGGCCATTTTCTTTTAGATTCTGGAGACACATTTTAGGACGCGACCTCATCTAATTGAAGCCCAAAAACTAGTTCTGAGTGTGTTCTCAATGAGATTTTCTCATGTTTGTTTTGTGTGTGTGTGTGTGTTTGCGCAGATTTTCGCAAA